TCGTATTCTGCGTTGTGATTTAACCAATTTCGCTCATTCGTTCTTCATGCACTCAGATGAACAGCAGTCAGTGGGCTCAATTTCTCAATAAATTGCAAGGACACATCGTTTTTGTTGATTGGTATTTACTGAAAAGTGAAATAAAACATCCTCTCAGTGGTGTTTTGCTGCAGACATAACATGTATCAACAGCTCGCGTTCCCCATAGCAACTCTTGAGTTACACTAACAGTATAACCAATAATAGAACATAACCACATTTCGTATGAAACATGATGCAATAATAAAAACAAAAGCAATAATAAACACAAAAATATACATAAAAACATACCTGAAAAGTGAAATAAAACATCCTCTCAGTGGTGTTTTGCTGCAGACATAACATGTATCTAAATAAAATATAATATAAAATTAGCAACCTCGTGGCCTTGCTAACGAGAGCACTATCGGACGGAAGTTCACAAAAGGCCATAACTAATCAAATATATGTTACTACTTGAATTAAATGATTTAAACATTTGCTAAACCAAATCACAAACAAAATATTTGAAATCGCTAGTCATTTTGCGTCATAATCGCACAAATATTGCCAAAATGAGACAGAGCATGACCATACGCACCAACAGCTCGCGTTCCCCATAGCAACTGTTGAGTTACCCTATTTACCGTCAAACCACGCATTTTTGTCTGCAGCTCCCAAACAAACCACATGAGGGCACTATTTTAACATGAAATGAATAACTGCTGTTGAATTCAGGAGGATTCACAATAAAACTAAATACAAATCTAACTCTGTTACATTCACCCCCACTGAATTCTACTGAATTTAAGCAGCGGTAGCACAAAAATAAAACACACTTCAATACATTCACATTGGCGTACACACACAGAGATACCTACTGGTATGCCAAACTCTAGGTTATCTGAAAAGAAGATGAAGTGGAAAGAGAGTAGCGCAACACTCTCAGACCAACATCTGGCAGTAAGATGCCCATATACATCTCACAAAACTCCATGTCAAGGTATACAGTAAAGTAAATGTAATACACTCATCAAGGTATATCATGGAAAGAAAAAAAAACATTAAAACATTGGAAAAAAAAAAAAAAAAAAAAAATGTTGTACCTTTTGTCTTATTTGTTCATCTTAAACGATATTTGTTTACAAACATATTGAACAACTTAGTACTAAAACAAATAAACATTCAAACTGTCTGAATTCTGCAACTAGGCATTGACACAACATCTTGTCTAGACATAGTGTACAACAGTCTATTCACAGGCTTAAGGAGACGTCCAAAACGAGACCTGGCCACGATAAAGGTCCCGGTGTCAGAACGTGACACATCTTCATCATCAACTTTGGAAACATCTGCTGAAGGATTTGAAATCACAGGATGTACAAGACTCACAGATTCAACCTCTGAATCCAAATACCCAGTAACACTCGAAAAGTCAGACTGTTCGTTTCGTGCACTCACTGAAACATTGCTCAAAGACACAACTGATCCCAGCTGTGAACATTTATCAGGCAACCCAGAAACCCAGTCAGACGTTCTGGCACAACTGTCAATTGTAGAAGTTGAGACATTAGCATCAAGAGACAGACCATCATCAGGTTTAACAGACTCCGAATCCTCGTGCGTCTTTGCCAACCCACCATCTCTGACACTCTGCCCCGAGTTCAAACTGTCAACACCCATTCTTGTCACAGAGTTTGCAACGTTGTTTTCATCACATGAATCAGGCACAGACGAAGATGAAACTGTGTCGGATACTGCACACTCCGCTTTGTCTAATGGCAAAAAGTTCACAGGTAGCAAAAGATTGCGATGCACAACCTTTTCCTGACCAGTGCTTGTATCTCTTATCTTGAAAATGTGAGTGTCTACATTTCTATCCACCACGACAAAGACGGCGGACATCCATCTGTCAGCTAGTTTTCGCTTGCCTCTCGCAGCCTTGTTCGCTAGAAGAACACGATCACCAACATCAATGCCCTGACCTTTGACTCTCCTGTTGTAGAGCACTGCATGTCTACTCTGTTCCTTTGAAGCATGCGCTTGAGCTAATGACAAAGCCTCCTCCAAATCTTTCAAAAGAGAAGCCACATACTTGTCATAGCAAGTCACAGTGTGATCCTCCAATACAGAGCGGAAGATTATGTCAACAGGAAGGCGAGGAACTCTACCGAACATGAGATAAAATGGAGCATAGCCCGTCGTCTCATGAACAGTACAGTTGTACAAGAAAGTCAAAGATTGAAGTTGTCTTGGCCAATTACGCTTTGCATCAGGAGCCAATGCACGAATCATGCTCCTCAGGGTTCTATTAAATCTCTCCACACTACCATTCCCCATAGGATGGTAGGGAGTTGTATGCGATTTCTGTACCCCAGACACCCAAAGAAGTTCACCAATCAACTGGCCCTCAAAACTTGCCCCCTGATCACTGTGTATGCGTTCAGGAAACCCAAACACACAAAAGTATTTGTCCCACAAGACACGTGCCACTTGTCTAGCAGACTGATCTTTGCATTGAAACGCTTGCACCAACCTGGTAAAGTGATCGGTGATCACTAAGACATCAACTGACTTGTTGTTTTGATCCTCAGCAGACCAAAAATCGATGCATACTAACTGCAATGGTCTATGGGTCACAATATTCTCTAGGGGCGCTCGACCCTCAGGCTCAGTGGTTTTACTGACAACACACCTCTGACAGCATCGTACATACTCCCTAACATCTCTGTCAATGCTCAACCAAAAGAAACGGCGTCTTGCCAGTCCCAAACTTCTGGACTGCCCCTGATGACCCGCATGATCGTGAATTCCCCTCAACACCTCCAACTGAAGTGCTTCAGGAACAACATACTGGAAACGCTTACCCTTAGACAAACGATCACGAGAGATCCTGTAGAGAATACCATTTCTCAAAACAAATTTCTCCCAATGCTTAATGTATCTAAGGACCCAAGCCGATTCCTTTGCTCTTTCACGCCTGCTTGGTCTGCGATGTCTTTCCACATAATGAATAACCCTTGACAGCACACTATCAGAGAGTTGCTTTTCACGCAGGTCACGTTCGGAATATGTAGGCTGCATCTCCAAGTCAGGAACCATCTGAGGAAGATGATCCAAAACAGACAAAGCACGAAGTCTTGCACCGTCTTCCCATGCCATTTGTGAGTCAAACACGGCCATTACATCCTCCTTATCCAAGGAAGTTCGTGCAACATTCACCGAATTACTGTGCAAAGGACCGCTGCTAGAAATACTCTGCTTTCCTTCAGACCCACAAGACCACCGAAAAGCATCCTGAACAGAGCTGGCAGAAACCTCCTGTACTTCAGACAAAAGTTTGTCATATTTCTCACATAACAGTCTAGAGCCAATGCTAGTGTTCACGAATGGAACCCTACTCAACGCGTCAGCCACAACATTCTGCGCACCCGGTACATACTTGTTGTCAAAATTGTACGCCGCAAGTTTGGCCACCCACCTCTGCTCACAACAATCAAGCTTAGGTTTCGACAAAATGTGAGTGAGCGGATTGTTATCAGTCCACACTGTAAATACGTGACCTTTCAGCCAGTGGCTGAACTTTTCGCAAACCGCCCATTTCAACGCTAGAAACTCTAAGCGATGTGCCGGGTAATTCCGCTGAGATGGAGAAAGCGACTTACTGGCAAATGCTATAGGTCTAGCTCTAGTGTCTCCTGCCTGAACTTGAGACAGCACAGCCCCAATGCCGTCTAAAGAAGCATCTGTCGAAAGGACAAAAGGGCGGCTAAAATCCGGATGAGCTAAAACAACTGCTTCTAGCATGGCAGTCTTAAGATTCTCAAATGCCAGCTGCGTCTCAGGTGTCCAATCAGCTAGAGTCAATTTCCTTAACGCACAGTTCCTTTTATTTGCGCAACTCCTTTTGGCTCTTTTTTTCTGACCTTTCAATAGATCGAAAAGGGGTTTGGCCACGGTTGAGTAGTTGGGTACAAAATGCTGATAATAGTTAACCATCCCAAGAAAGGATCTTATGCGTTTCTGGGATGGCGTAACTCCATCAGCCTCCATCAGATCCAAGTTAGTCATTTTGGATATACTCTCTACCTTACTTGGATCTGTTGATACGCCAAACTCATCAATCACATGTCCAAGAAATTGCACAGATTTCCTAAGGAAATGACATTTCTTGGGGGCAAGTTTCAGATTGTGCGTTCTCAACCGACCGAATACCATCTCAAGACGTCTCAATGCTGTCGTTTCGTCAGGTCCAAAAACAATCAAGTCATCTAAATAGCACAACAAACTTAGGAAGTTTTGGTCCCCAAAAATACTTGTCATCATGCGCATAAAACTCCCCGGACTATTACAAAGCCCTTGAGGAAGCCGATTGTACTCATATAGGCCCATAGGCGTAGTAAAAGCTGAGTACTTTCGGTCATCCTCATGTAAAGGCATATTGTAAAAGCCCGAGGTCAAGTCCATCGTGCTGAATAGTGAATTTTCACCTAACGCAGCCAAACAATCGGCCTGGTGAGGCAACGGATGAGCGTCTTTGAACGTCCTTTTGTTTAACCACCGGAAATCCGTACATACGCGTAAATCACCATTCTTTTTCCAAACAAGGACTAAAGGAGACGCAAACTCGCTAGTCGATTTGCGAATAATCTCCTTTTCCTCCATTTCATTCAAAACACGACGCAACACTTGATACTGACTGGGCGCCACACGTCGGTACGGAAGTCGGAAAGGTTTTGTGTCTGAAAGATGGATCCTATGAACAAATTCAGTAGCATTTCCACAATCCAAATGATGGCGTGAAAAGACATCATTGTACTGCATGATTGTATTTGCCAATTTCTGTCTACAACCTTCAGACACATCACAAGAATCCAAATCAAGCCCTTCTAAACCAACTGACCTTAGTTTCTCAGCAACAGACCTCAGATCAATGGAGTTACTACCCTCTGGTTTAGTCTGTTGCGTCTGAGAAAGCAGGTTCCCATCATCCATGTCTTCGAGAGCAATACCCGGAAACAAATCGGCTATCTTGGCATTACGTCTTAGCATGACAGGTTTTTCCCAAGTATTAATCAACTTCAATGGAACCCACCTGTCCCCCCATAGGTGTGTGACAAGCCTAGCCACAAGAACACCTCTAGGTGCCGACCGCGAACTTGTAGCCTCAATCAGCACAGCACTACCTGGAGACACCTTCGTGTGTTTAGGCAACCTACCCCACACAAGATACTCGCGACCAGGCTCCAGACAGACTGCAGAATTACATCTCACAGTGCCAATTTTGTCAGGCACCCCATCACCCCTCCAGCGATTCAAGCCTGCAAGCATAGACAGGAAAGCCTCAGACATAGGATCATTACACACATTAGGAGTCGAAACTGTCTTCCAAAACAAATCACATTGCTTAGAGCATCTTATGATGTGTTTGATAACATTCGTACCAACAATTAATTCATCATGCTGCCCATTGACAATCAATGTAGGTACCAACATTTTGCATCCATAAACCTCCAGCTCAAGTGTGACAGTACATTTTGGTTTTACCCGGCTGCCTCCGCAGCCAATAAGTGTAACATCTGGGCTGCCTCTACACTGATCGCTGATTATTCCAGCATCTAACAATTTCTGTTCTGCACTCTCACTCATGGTACATGCCATGGATCCGCTATCAAGCATTCCATCCAGGACCACTTTACCAGCCACCATGACGGGAGTGTAGAACAGACTGTCATTTCTGCAGACGACATTCGTGTTCTGAAACACAACATTCTCACCACAACAAGATTGTTTAGCAGACATGAAAATTTTTTCAGCATTTGCAATATTGACATCATTTTGGGAGTTACTATCCACACCTGTACAGCCTCCCTCAATATACAGGTCGGTTAGTTTCCCGACGGAGGCTGTGGACAGGCTGAATGAGCATGCCCCGGAGAAAAACAACCAAAACACAACCTGTCTTTAAGGCAGTGAGATTTAGTGGAATGTGCAGTGCTACCACAAACTCCACAGCCACTCGCTCTGCCTCTGTATCTGAAATTCACATTCTTCTCAGGCTTGACATTGTTACCTTGCTGTAATCTTTCCATCACCTGCTCCAACATACCCATCATACGGTTCAGGACATTTTCATCTGATTTTCCCATATCCTGTGACTTAGGAACAGTCTGATCAGAACAGCAAGCATTGCGCAAAGGGTCGTGTATGCCACCGGCCGCAGGAGTGGGACTCACATAGTTTGCAAATCTAGCACCTGTTTCCTGAAAGTGAGACATCGGCAAACACTTATCAATATGTGCAACATCAACATTTCTCAAACCGAGAGAGCTGGCAGAAGCCAGAGAGGAGCGACGCTCTCTCTGATACTCATCCAATCTCCCCTGGACTTCTTTTGCAGTCCATTCACTGATCGGCTTGTGCTTAAAGAGACCAGACAGAACAGGATCAGGGCAATATTTTACAAACATGTGAGCCACCTCTTCACTGATATTATCCATGGCCCGCCCTTGTCTACGCAGGCCTTCATCAGCTAGATCTGCTGCCTTATTGAGTCTGATCCAGTAATCTACTGCAGTCTCACTGGGCTTAGGTAGAGTCGAGTAAAAGTCGGCTAACGGAAGGCATGATGGTGCAACACTGAAATACTTCAGAAGAATAGAGTAGATTAATATCCCCTGCCTTGCCCATCAATCGTGACATTATCTCATCTGCTTGATTTTCAACAGCACACTTCTGTTTTGACAGAAGAGTCCTGGTCATCTCAATCCATTCATGTACCGGAAATTTATCACTACTGTCACCTCTGAAAATTACAGGTTCTCTGTCGGTAGTGACATGTACGGTCACTTGAGAAACATCTTGTTTGGTTAAACTGTCAGAATTTACCCCTCCACTGACATGAGACTCACGGCTAGTAGTAGTCATTGTTCCACTTTCAATTATTTTTGCAGCGACAGCATCACTAATTTGGTCACCCAGCCGCCCAAACATGTCGGTTAAACAATCCAACATCTGATTATCGCAATTAACACTACGTGGGGTAGACGTGTTTCCAACATGGTACTTAACAGGTGGGTCTCGAAAAAGCAAACCACGTCCAGCACTCTGTGCATTATCGAACGCCATGCACAAAGGATTTTCCCTACTGACATTAGGCGTAGGTTCGCCAGCACAAAGACTGCTGGTCATGACACCCCTTCCACGTGGAATAAAAGGGCTCCCAGGACTGCTAACATTAAATCGTTGAACAAATTTTTCACCCATTAATGAGAGTTATGAAACCTTATGAATTCAAAAGTTACTCAGCAGTCCATAACTCGATGTAATTAACAGTCCGAAAGCAGCAGTGACATATCAGTTGAAGATGTCCTCATTCAAAAGTCTGTACGCAAAAACAAAAACATTCAAAGTCTTTCATCCAAAAAAAAAATGTTGAAAAAGACTTTACATTCAAAAAGATTTCCTTCAAAAAGACTGCATTCAAAAAGTAC